TATCAGTCAGTGGAGATGTATTTACAGCCTCGTGGCTATTCAATAAGGTAGTCTTTAAATTAGATATATCGGTCTGCAGAGTTATATTCACGGCATCTTCATTACTCAATGAATTGCTATTTAAATGAGATATATCAGTCAGTGGAGATGTATTTACAGTGTCTTGATTATTCAATAAGTTGCTCTTTAAATTAGATATATCGGTCTGCAGAGGTATATTCACAGCTTCATCATTACTCAATGAATTGCTTTTTAAATATGATACATCAGATGGCAGAGGGCTATTCACAGAATCACTGTTACTCAATGAGTTGCTATTAAAATGAGATATGTCAGTTTTCAATGGTGTATTCGCAGCATTACTGTTACTCAAAGAGTTGCTATTTAAATGAGACATATCAGCTGGCAGCATAGAATTGTCATCAGTAAAGAGAACGTTGATTGTGGTTGGAAAACTATTATCATTAACATAGTTTTGGTTAGTTTCTAAAAAAACTTCAACCGGTTCTGTATTTTCAGCCTTTGTGTTTAGAAACTCTAACCTGTAACAACAAATTTACATTAAAGCATTCAATTCAAGGATTCATGAGTTGTAATAGTAATCAACTTTCTGCAAAATACATGATATATCAAAAGGTGTTTCACAAATAACATTAGGAGTGCTCTTCCACCCAATGTTTGAGAAAAAAATTACAAAATTTTCATTAAATGATTAGTCATAATCATTACAAGACATAAATACAGAACATTGACCTAGGTCATAAATTGAAGAACAATCAGTAGTAAAAAAGAACGGCGGTAAATAGCTACCATAGACGGTTTATTCATAATCATTTAATAAGTGCTAATAAGTATTCTGTACCTCTGAGACATGATGATGGCAATTCTTTTAAGACATGACAGGAAATTCTTAGACGCTGGTGCGTAGATTAAGTACCAGAATTAACTAGCTCGAGACTGTGGTCTCTAGCTCAACTTCTTTAACAGCAGCAGCAGCAGCAGTAGCAATAGCGAATTTTCTTTCAGTCTAAAGAGGCAATCGTTGAATAGCACTTATTTAGACAATAATTTCACATTGAATGGTGTTAAAATCAAATTAAAATCAAAAAATAAAAAACATTTTTTATACAACCAATGTTGAATGAAGATTTATCGCATTATAAAACTGAATAATAATTATTAATTAATAATTATAATATTATATTATTATGTATATATGCGCTAGTGATAAAATGGTAATTGAGCGAGCGCCGAGCGGTAACATAGGTGGTTACCAGTTAACGAGTAACAGTATGCCACCCCAACGATACTGTCATTGAAGATTAAACATACAGAGTACAGACGAAACGAATAAAAATTAATACAGTAAATATAGTAAACTATTTTTTGTTAAAATGAAACCGATAACCTACAGGATCGACCGTTACTTTGAGAGTTCGCGTCACACTAATGCCAACCGTCCTAGTCCGTTAGCACTATTTCGAAAGTAGATGGCGCGCGCATATTGACGGCGACGAGCAAACAATATCGCATCGATTCTGACATCTGTAAAATATGAAATAACTGTTAATTGAATAACAATTTAAGTAGTCGGTGTTTATTATTTAGCTAATTATGTTAACTGTGTAAAGCGAATAAAAAAGTTGGAGGAAGTAGAAATAACGATATATTTTATAAAATATATTTGAAAAAATAAAAATAATTTTAAATTAGGATGTAGGTACTAAATAATTACAATGAATGATTAAATTATAATAAACAATACCAGCTATGAAAGAAGTTTATAAGTTAATGAAAACGATAATTGTTAACAATGTACATAGTTTAATGTAGCACGTGCCATTTTGTATTAATGCATTATATCATTTATCATATAATTTTAAATTTTAATTATTTTTTAATTAATTAATACTATTTAAGTATCTAATACCTATTCAATTATTACTCAAATGACTGAATGACTCTATAAGTGCACCTATTTTATTATGTTATCGATGGTAACTTACCATACATGAAATATGTTTTTGATTTATTCACGCGAGCTAACAATTTATTATATTAGAGTTTGGCATAAAATAAAATTTATCATTGCGGTGATAGTGGCTACTATGTATTTGTTAAAAATATACAAAAGATATAACCGTGCCACCCTGGTGAAAAGAGAGGTTTTACAACTTTACTACTGTTATATTTTATTTAAATGAATTAGAAAAAAAAAATTATAACTGTAAATATGTAAGAAGTCATTGAAGTTTCAAAAGTATTGTCTGTACTGATAGAAGTATAGTATACGATTAAAATTAATCAAAATTAAATAGTTTTTATAATTTATCAAACAAAGCAAAACAAATGTCAAATGATGGGTATAATTTATTATATTTAAGAGGGAATTTTGTGTAAAAATTAAAATGTATGTTATTTTCTACCTATATCATATAAATTATATGCTGTTAATGAGTTTTGATAAATATAAATATGATTTATAAATAACAAAACTGTAAATAATTATTGCAAATTACTTAGACGTTAGGCAATATTCTTAGTTGAAATGTTTTTTTCTGAATTTAATGGGAATAAAATGTAACTTCAATTCAGTGATGCGTATTGGTAATTAAATTTATGGGTACACGCATCTAAAAGTAGTTGAATAGGTATACCTTCAAAAACTTTCTTGCTTCGCTTAAAACATCTTAACGCTTACAATAGTATTTAATAGATAATCTTTATCTTTTATTACAAACACTTACTCTTCACCTATATGTATCAATGGAAATAATTTTTAACTGACATACTTTTGAAATTTAATTTTGGTTATTTATTTTTTATAGTTTTTATATGTATTTATTTTATTCAACAAATATTTGAATAATTGTTAATTCTTAGTAAGTTAAACCAAAATTGCTATTTTAGTGATAAACAGGATGTAAACAAGTAGATTTGGTTTGAAATTAAGTAGTATATTCTTACAGATTAAATTCAGTGGGATATCCGCTATGGACGCATAACTTCCATAATATTGATGTTAATATTTAATATTTACACTAACCAGTATGCATGCTCGGCAGTTTCCGAATTTCAAACTTTATGCGGGGTTGAGGCTATTTTTGGATAGTGTGTAGTGTACATAATAAAATAATTATTGTATATTATTTAACCATTTTTATGATTATTATTTATTTATACTGTGATATTATAATTATGACTGATCATAAATTAGAAACTTGAGCATACTCATAATTTATTAATTTTAGTAGACGTAAACCCATAATAGACAAATTTTCTTAAAGGTATACGCATACATTCAAAATTAGAGATTCAAGTATATACTTATATACGACGGTATATGCTCGAGTATAACCTTAAATACATCCCACTGGATTTAATCAAAACAAATTTAAAAATAAATATATAATTTAATTTAAAATTATGTTTTGGTTATATAGAAATTTTATTATTTACTATTATCTTAAATTAATAAATTTTGAATAAATTTAATGTTAAACCTGATCTTGTATTCTTGCTTATATTAAAACTAATTTTTCAAATTCATTGAAAATATTCAAAAGCTCGAAAAATTAAATTTATTATAGGTACTTACAAAGACATTAGAAATAGTAGGTAGAAAGAGTTGAAAGTTCTATAAATATTTCTCCTAAACATAAAATTAGGGAAGTTATTTTTGAATTCTCTCATCATTTACTTACTAACCGAAAATATTTTATTTATTTTTTCATTTAACTAAGCTATGATTTCTGAAAATTTATATGATACTAAAATTAAAGCTATCTTTTGAATTTGCACGATTCGGAGTAAAAAAATTATTATTCAAATTTACTCTGATTCAAATATCTTAAATAATATATCTACCGTAAATTGGTGTTTTTAAATATTTAATGAATTATTTTTCATAACTCATTAGACAATTTATATTTGTACTCAATTTTACTTTCAACAATATCTTTATCGCTCTTAATATTTAACCGATTGTAAAAAAATTTGTATACAATTTTATAAATTTCTAATTCCAAAATTAGACTTTAGGTAAGTTAAATTACGATGATGAACGGGCGTATGCAGATGATGTACGGTAAGTTAGGTATTATAATATTTTATTTATTATTCATATTTTATTTTACAAATAAATTGAAAATGTTCGTGAAAATTATACTAAATATTAAATTATAATTATTATTTATTAGTCTTAATCAAAAAAAGCTTAATGATAATAAAAATAATTATGATTATACTTATAATTTATTAATAATTGAGTAATTATTACCTTTTTTTGTGTCGAAAAAGCTCAAAAGATTATGTAAAACTATTTATAAAATCATGGGGTAGTTTTTATTTGGGGGGGTGGAGGAGGGGGCTAACAAAATATTTTGTTGATGAAAAAAAAAATAATAAAAATATTATCTTTGGGTTGAATTGATTTGTTTTAACATTTGGTGAAAAGTAGTGAAGTTATTCTTCATACACATTGTCACATAGAATATTATTATACTTATCTACATTACTATAATTATACCGAACTATCGATCGGCGTCTTTTTATCGATGTATAGTTCCAGTGCCTTAGGTATATGACAGGCTAAAGACTTGCGGAGCCGGTGCAGTAGAGCAAACCATTTATCGGGGGAAAGTGCAATAATAACAGTCTCGAATAGTATATTTATATATGTATATACACAGCACGATATTTTTGTATTGAATAAAATGATGTGTTTTTGTAGCGATTGTTGACAATAAGGTACAGGGTAGTCGAGGGGTCGGGCGGAAGACCTGCAAGTTGCGTTAAGTTTGTAGCCGAGCGTATTGGTTGGATCGCGGTCGGTCGGTTCGACTGAAGCCCCATGACTGTTTTAGGGAGCCTGTGTTGGCTTTTTTATTAAGTTCGCCCTGTTTCTATACACCCTTCCTTTTATAAACTTCCCCTTCGGATTGCTACAACTACAGCCCTACTCAAGACTCAAAAGCTCTCGTTACACACCAATGTAGTACACACACTACGTCACTATATATATATTATGTTTTATTTATAATATATACATATATACATAAATATACATTATAATATTATTGGTACACGTCGACCACAGCCGAGTGTAATATAATAGGTAGGTATACAACATAACTCATAAGTATAATCTATACACATTTTTTAAATGATCATTCAAGTCTAAACTTTAAAAGTGAAAAACAAAATTATTCATATGCAATGATAAGTAAAATATATTAAATACATTTAAAAGAAAACGTGATAAGGTTATAAATATTAATTATTTAGTGTTATACATACAAGTTAATTAAAAAGCATTTAGATTTTAGACTATAATGATTTAAGATTTGAACTTCTCCATTACTCTGAATAGGAACTTTATAAATTGTAATAAACAATTCAATATATCTATTGGAACGATATATCATGTATACTATAGAATATAGGTACATAGAGCATATTTTATATGCATTGATTTAACGATTTAAATTAATTTTGTTAATTGTTATCATATTTATACTTATGCACCATTATTATTTATTAATATAGTATTTTGAGTGGATTACCCAGGATTTCTTATTTAAATGGGACGAATAAATAATGTAAATGAAAATGAATTAAAATTAGTTGCAGTGACAAATTATATTTTACTATTAAATTATTGTAGTAGTAAATTAAATAATGGTATACTTTATATCAAACATGTTATATTTATTTAATTGTCTTAGATTCTAAGCTCTTCAATATGAATGTATTGATTTTACAACAGTGTGTTTTTTTGTGTCCGAGTACACAATATATAATTGAAAAAATGCTTTAATTTTAACTAAGAAGGTATAGTTTTGAACATAAAATCGATTCTAGTTTGTAATTTAAGGAGGTTAAATTTGTAAATTTCTAGTTTTTTTCAAAATATAATCGGAAAAAAAAAACAAAAAAAAAGGAAAAACTGGAAATTTTATGCAATTTGATATTTGATATGATCCAAATTAAAGAAAATTAGTGAAATATTACCTATTTATTAGATACTTAATCAGTGCTTATATATACACCAGGTGTTCAATAAGTTTTAAAACTCTTAATTACTGCAAATATATTTTAATATCTACAAAAAGTAATAATAGATAAAATTGTTGTATATTTATAAAGTAAAATATTTAATAACCTCATTAATTCTATCATATTATCA